CCCCCCCCCCCCCCCCCCTCCCCAGCCCCCAACATAAGCTGTGGTCAGAAATGCACCTGAACACAGAGATAAAACATTACAATGAACCTTGACTCAGGATTTATGGCTGATAATGATGCTTATTATCGTAAAAGCTAATCAGTGCCTTTATCTGGACGTACGGTGTCATCGTTATCTTAGGTAACAAAGAAAATTATTTTTAAAAGATAGAATTATTTTAGTATGTAAAAGAAGTCGTAACTTGTAAAATGTTTAGAAAACAGCTTAAAATAAAGGATTTAGAAAATATGGCTACAAAAATATAATATAAGTAGTTAAAATAGAATTTGTATAAGTAAGACTGTTGAAAAGTAATCATTCATAGCCAAAGGCAAGTGAAGAAAGTCATTATAGGTCAGAGTAACTGAAAGTCCAAAACATTAATCATTTTATAGAATTTGTTCTCAGCTCAACAAGATATACTAAAGTAGCCTGAAATAAATAAAAAACATTTACCAAAAGTCAAAAGAGTAGAAAAAGAAGCATAACTTAATGTAGCCCCAAGATAAAGTGATAAACATGTGTTAAAACGGCCCAGAAACATGTCCGGGTGCACTGACCGGCCCCAGAGCCAGATCTTGGAACGGAAGAAAAACGAATCCAGATGGATTTTCAGTAAAGAAATTATTCTATGTACTATATATAATAAGAAATAGAAAACTCCTCTCCTCCCCTACATGTCCCTCCTCTCTCCCTCAGTTTGACTGCGTCTCCTCCCTAATGACCTGTCCACCATCACCAGGAGAGCTGGTATTTAATCCCTGTATCAGCAGGCCACCTATAGGATGTAGTGAGGTTTGTGAAGGGCAGTGTATTCTTCTGGCATGACCCACTTACTGCTGCTTCATTTTTCATTTGTGTTGGGAGCTGCTGCTGTTCTCAACAACAGCACAAATGGCTCTCAGCCCCACAGGCTGCTCATTGGTTTCCAGGCTCCCTGGAACATGTCCTTCCCCTTTAGTGCCTTACGCCTCGGCTCGGCCATCCAGATCGCTGTGGAGAAGGTGAACACCAACCCTTTGTTTCTGGGTAACTTCAGTCTGGATTTCGTCTACACGGACACAGACTGCAATCCCAAACTTTCCCTGCAGGGATTCATTCACCAGGTTTGGAAAGAGAATGTGTCTGCACTCTTTGGTCCGGCGTGTCCTGCAGAGGCTGAGGTATGACTTCAGTATTACGTATATACTCCATTTACATATATGTATATATATATACATATATATATATATATGTATATATATATATATATATCTTGGAGAGTAGCATTTTCACACTTTGTTCTTATTTTTTGCTGACACCATGGACGCCATTTCAGGTAACTGGTCTCATTGCATCTGCATGGAACATTCCGATGTTTGGATTTGTAGGACAGTCCTCCAAAACGGACAACATGGGTGTCTACGACTCCTACATCAAAGTGATGCCTCCTCTGAAAAGGAGCTCCGAGGTCCTGGTGAAGACTCTGGAGTTCTTTGGTTGGAACTACGTGGCCATGATCGGAGGTGGACTGGAGTCCAACACCTGGGATAAAGTGGACGCTTTGTGGAAAACGGTGGAGAATCCACTGAGAGCCAAGTTCAAGCTGACTGCATCGGTACAGTTTGACACCAGCAATCCTCAGCTGGTCCATAAAAACATGAAGTACATCTCCTCGATGGCCAGAGGTGAGAGAATCATTCTGACAGCTGAGAAGAATTTTTTTTAGCTTTTTGTTTTTCTTTAGCTCTGTTTACACCGTCCTGTCGTCCTCCATCCTCCAGTGATTGTTATTCTATCAAACAAAGAAGACGCGATGTTTCTCTTGCTGGAGGCTGAGCGTCAGGGTCTAATGAATGGTGACTATGTCTTCTTTCTGGTACAGCATTTTGAGGTCAGTGGAGGCGTGGTGAGTAAAAACTTTCAGCTTAAAACTGTTCATTTTTGGCTGTGTGTTCATGGTCACGTCATATCACACTGTTCATTCATCAATTTATTCCAGGAGCAGAGGAAGTCGTGGAAATGTTTCCACACAGCTGTATTTATTATTACTATTTATTTATTCTTGTTTTTGTGTGTTTGGCATTTGCTGTGAACCCTATCTTTTCACAGGATCCCATTTAAATATTTCCCATTAATAAGTTGCATTTCTTGTTAATATTTCTTGGTTGTTCCGGTGTTTGTTTTGTGCAGGACAACATGTGGAAATATGCCCTAAACAACTCAATGAACAAAGCCGTTCTGAGAGCTTTCGACATGGCCTTCATTATTGGTCAGAAGTCCTACGAGGGTTATGAGTACTACGACTTTTTTGATCAGGTGTATGAAAAACTGAGGGGGGCGCCATTTAGGAGCAACCTGACAACTGCCAGAGAGGTCAGTAGTCCTCCCCCAGATTAGGAACAGATTGTCCGAGAGTGCCGACAGATCAGAGAGCCTACATGTTTCTGTGTGATGGTCTTAGGTGAGCCCCTACGCTGCATACCTGCATGATGCTGTGCTGCTTTATGCCATGGGGCTGAAAGAAGTCCTGAAAGACGGCAAAGACCCTCACGATGGACGTCAGCTGCTAAAGAGTCTGAAAAATAAAAACAGCATTCGATTTTACGGTTGGTGGCTGCTCATTTAAACACTAATGCTACGGTTTATGAGGTTTTCCAGGAAACAACCGCTGTTACAGCTGCAATCTGTTTTCATCTTAGAATCTTTGAATGTTTCTTAACAATTTGGAATTCTCATAACAGGAGCCTCCGGACTGGTCCACTTTGATGAGGAAGGAGAGAGGAATCTGGACTATTCCATTTATGACTTGCAGTACATTGGAGACAAAGTCAAGTTTGTGCCCATTCTCCATTTTGACAGTCACTCCAAAAACATCCGGTAACAAACCTCTGGAAAAATGTTGACGTATTTTCATTGTTAACATCTTTTTTTACTGAAACAAAGAAAAACTGTAATTCCAGGCCAACATCCCAGTATGCCTCTTTGGTCTGGCCCAAAGGACGACCGCCATCTGATAAACCAGAGTGTGGTTTCAACGACGAATACTGTGAATGGTTGACCAATGGTAGGCAATATATCCACAGTTAACTGCAGTGACTATAGATGCAGTATATCTTACAGACACATTGTGTAAGTATAAAGGTGAATACTGGTGTTTACAGGTCACAAGGTCATGCTAACCGATTTGAACCTTCTGTCTTTATGGATACTAGATATTGCTCTTCTGACCTTGCTTGTGACCTTTCCCGTCATTGGAGTGCTGGCATTTCTGTGCATTGGACTTCTGGCTCTACAGAAGCTTCGCCTCCAGACTAAACTCGACGACTCCTGCTGGTGGCTCCTTCACTACTCAGACATCACCATCATCAGAGAGCCAAGGGTACGAGCACTGCAGCAGAAGAACTAGATCTGAGAATTTTTAAAAAATGCATGTACTTGCGTACGTCTGTTGTGTCTGTGATGATCGTCTCACCTGGAATGGGCGTGTCTTCTTTAGGGGGGCCAGGGTCTGTCTCTAAGCACCACAAACAGTCATAGTGGGAGTGGAGGGTCTCAGTCCAACTTCTCCAACAACAGCTACGGTCTGAGGGACAAGGCAGGCAGAGAGCATGTCTACATCACCATAGGCCTCTACCAGGTACCTGGGATTAAAACATCAAATACATTTCCAATATCTGGCACAAGACTAGAAAAAGTAAGAAATATTAATTATTTC